AGGAATAAAAAAAAAAACACAATTAAGATATATTAAAATTAGGAAAGTAATTATTTAAATTTAATATAAATAATTAACGCTTTTTAAGTTTTTGAGAGTTGCGTATTTACATTTCTATATAATTTTCACAAAATATAAAACACTAAGGAAAAATAAGGAATGTAATGTAAAATATACATATACATACATATATTAAAGCGGAATTTTTTTCACACTTTAGCTTAATAAATTGTAAAAAGGAAGAACAAATAAAATTTACCTTAATTGAATTTGTTATGCAAATGAATCGTGCTGCGTTATTTTGATATCTTGTACAGAAGCACAAAGACCAAAATAAGTATCAACAAAATTTGTAAATAAAGAAACTTATAAACAATGCGTATAAAAACTTAGAGACCTATAGAGCATGCTTCAAGATATCTCATGAAGACCTGAAAATGGTGCTAACACACTTTTTTTGATGTGTATGCATCTTTGGTTTCGGTAGGGGTAAAATTTGCGAAGCTGTAACGCATATCCCAGCACAAAATTTCGAAGGGCTGAGCATGCGTATTTCAGCATAAAATTTTTATTTATCGAGTTGTGTGAATAACAAGCACAACCAATTTGACAGCTAACGAGCTTTGATTGTGATTATATTTATATGTAAACGTACTTTTATGCTTTGCCGTTCGCATATGCTACACATCAAATTTCATGAGTACCTAGTACTCACGCCTTTTTTTTATAAGTATTGCGGTGATTAGTCGAATTCGAGCTATCAATCGTATACTTGCTATTCGACCTTCACCGGCCAAAAAGTTGCAAAACGACTACTCGACATACTTGAAAGTTCTTCTAGATATCCTTCTCTCCTATAAATCATATCCAGGCTCAGACTAAGTCCCCTTTCAGACACGTTAAGTCTTGCTTTCAAGTCTGCTCGTTCGTTGGAGGAGGTGGGAAGAGAGGGGAAGAGTACAGATACCTCCGTACCGTCAATTCGTTTCAAGTTTTCTTGTTCTCTTTTGATCTTTTCGTTGCTTCCCGTTTAAAGAACCAAGTAGTTGAATTCAATTAAACTTGATGCATGTGGAAGCAAAGAGAAAACACAAAAAAGATAAAGATAAAAATTGCTTTCAAGACTTGACGTGTCTGAAAGGGGACTAAGAGGGATATTATAAGGCCGACTGATACCACCAACGGGTCCAAGGCTTTCAAAATCGTAGAGAGAAACATATTTTAACGAAGATGTACCCTGAGTTTGCAACACCTAGGTATATAGATCATGAGTACAAAGTTCAGTTTCACATACTGTTAGTCCGGCTGGAGCTCGTCGGCCTATGGGTCTGGTGATGCCTTCTACATATGCGGCATTGCAAAAAATGGAAAGAAAACAAAAGCGAGAGGAACAGTTCTATTAGGGAGAGCCGTCCACCCTATCTGCTTAAAAAGCTGAAGCAGCCTTTGACTTCACTATGGCTTCGGACGCAAATGTGAAGTCCACTATCCTGACATCCGTCCGTCGGCCAATCAGGCCTGTCGGCATCGTTACTACCTTATACGAAGAGAAGCATCCATCCCTGCCAGGCTGCCTCAATTCTTCTTCACAAAGGGTATACTGTGAATGTTTTTACCCCCGTTTTCAGTCAAAGGCAAATTTAATACAAATTGGAGGCGTACGACAGGGTCGAAGAAGATTGAACTTGGTCGCGCGAATAGCAAACCGGCATTTAAATATCTGCATACATACATATAAATACATACATACCTAACCAGTTATGCATGTACGCAGAAATTTTTTTTTGTTTTTATCATTTATTTCACATTTTTTTATTTTATTTGATTTATATATTTAATTTTCATTTGCTTTATTTTATATCACATTTTTTATTTTACTATTAGTTAATTTAAATTTTTAGAGTTGAATTTTTTTAAAAAGTCAACAAGAACTAACTGAACTTATAAAAAGGGAATGAAAACGAAATAAATGAAAATTCTACTGGCCGTGGGACTCGTACCTACACCTTGCGGCTTGTTTATCCGCATTACTGCCGTCTGTAAGGGTAAAATTATTATGCGCATATGTGTGCCCGGTTATATGCATAATCTTTGTCGTCTGTCACAGCCTTCATGCGCATTTGAAAGAGGAAAATGCATGAGTTAAAGCAAATAATGGCTGTTTATGCAAATAAGCGAGCCCGTTTGTCAACCGTATTAGGTTAGATACACACATTTGTATGCTCATTAGTGAATGCATTTATACCATATTTTTAGGTTTGTGATGTTGAGTTCGATTAATATAAAGTATTATCATTATTATTACTATTATTATTATCAGTATTATTATTGCTATTATTATTATTATTAGTATTACTATTATTATAATTTTTATTATTATTACCTCTTTGTTAATGCAGAGATTTTATTATTGTGTTTTCAATTTTGCGTGAGTGAAACTGGTTTATAGCCCTTAAACATATTATGCTGTTTTAATTTCTTTTCACTCCACATTAAACTTAGCGATTTTTTATTTACTAGTACACAAATATTTACCTTGGTTTAAAGTTTTTGAATTGCTTTACAAAAATATACATTTCTAGACCTCATAACTCATATGTCATTGAAAGTTTTTACACAAATATGTATTTGCGGTAGTTGATTTGTATTTTTTATGCTTACATTAGAATTATCTTGGAGTTTGTATCCGATTCTATACACATTGCTTCACTTTAGAAGGATTCTCGAAGTCTTGCAAAGCCTTGCACAGCGTACGTATGTCAAAGATTTCCGATAGGAAACCCTGTTCTACCGTTCAAGCCGTGCAAGGGTTTTACAAGACTTAGAGAACCCCCCCTAATGTGTTTCTGGCCATTTTAGGTAAAGATTGATATCAAACAGCAGAACATATCATGTACCCACATAATTCTGGACCACACTGCAACAATGTAAAAAAAAGCAATGGAAATTAAGCATATACATATACTTATTTGTTTTCAAAACCATTTAGCACACATAGCACAAAAGAGTAATTTGTATGCAGCAGTGTTAACGCCATTTGCTGTTGAAAAGTGTGATAAAATAGTTTTTTTTTTGTTTTTGTTTTTAGAAGCAAAGCCTCTTTATTTTCTTGTTAATCGTATTTTTCACCACGTATTTTTCTACAAGTTTATTAGAATATCTAACGCGATTTAATAGCTACAGCTACATAAGTACAATTTTCCGCCATTACATTTACAAACGCTTAAACATATAACTTGTGAGCTTCGGGGGCTTGTCTTTTTTGCGTGTTTAGATAGTGGTGAGTAATGCCATAGTGTACGAGTGTGTTGCTTTGGATTTTAATCTCAGGAATGAGTTAAAATGTGACTGGATGTACATGTTGTATGTGTATGTCCCTATTTTATTTTTACAAATATATGTATGTTTATGTAGTATAAAGCTTAATTTTTTATGAGAAGCATTTTATATTCAGCTTGCTTTAGTTATGCTTTTATTTTTTTACGTTTGAATGTTTAAGTTATAGCGATTTCATTGATAGCTCAATTATAATAATTGGTTTTCGTTTTTATATTACACAAATTGCCGAATTTACAGATTTTGTTTTGTTGCACTGAAATCGCCATTTCCTTTAATCTGCCATCTCATTGCTAAATGAAAAGTTTACTTCGAATATCTCGACGAGTTATTTGGTCGACGTTTGGTATCCAGTTTTTTACTTTATCCAATTAGTGGAAATTGAACCATCTCAGTGCTTTGTATGTAGCCGCTAATATTTTACAGGTTTTGGTCGAATTCAAATCAAGTCAGATTTCACGATTATTTTTTTCTTATATACAATTATTTACGAGATTTGACTAGTTTTTACACGGTTTTCTATTGTCTATACTCATTAATGGATGTTCGTTTTTATGCTAGTTAAGTCTCCTTAGTGTTTTACTGCTAATGTGCTTGTTTTTTTTAATCTTAATTTATCTTCATCCTATGTTTTGTTTCGTCTCGCCCGCCCCTCGAATTTAGTGATTTTGCACCCGGTTAGTAGATTTTTGTTTACTTAATGAACTTATTTTCTGTACGTAGCAATCCGTAAACAGCTTAAAAATATTCAGTGAAGCAGTTTGGCGTATGGGCTTGAAATGGCAGTAGCCGCAGCGGCCGTAATGCTTCAGCTTTTTTTGATAGGTTTTAATGCTTATTGTTTACGCTGCAGTCGCAATCAAAAACAACGAAGGCTCACATATTTAAGCTGAACAAATGACAAGTCGTCTGAATAAAACTTTTAAAACCATTTTCATTTGCGAATAGAACTAGCGAAGCGTTGGAGTGAAATGAAATTCATTTGTTTTGCATGTACAAAACTTTGAGTTCTTAATGCCAAGCAGTATAAATTCTTCAAAAATAAACTAATACATACATATGTATGTACATGCACTTCTAATGACAGTTATTATATAGCAAGCAAAAAGGCATTGTAGTGTGTATGCATGGATGTCTTTTGGGCAAATTATGTATTTAATTATTTTCCAGCTCCTTGGAAACCCAAGTAGCAAGTACAGTGATAAAATTATGTTCCCATGCTTCCAAATGTATAAACTTATTTTTGCGTAAATCAGCAAATGTATTTATGTACATACATATACAAGCTTGTTGGTATTACAGCATGTGGACCTGCATATGTAAAACTTCGTTTCAATAAACCATGCAAATTAAAATTACATCTACATGTGTATGCAACAAAGAAATGCACGTAACGCTCAAGTCCTTAACCAGGAACTTAAAAATGTGTTATGTAGAGTACATGTCAATTTGAACGCTCGGTGCGGTCGACTAGATAAAAGTGATTATTTTGGTATGTCCGTGTATTCGATAAGTTTATCTTAGTTGCATTTTTCCCGAACCTTTTGTTAGCATTCCTTTAGCTTCATTAATTAATTTTATTTTTGGTATACCTTTTAATCGCCTGGTACGAAGAATTCATACTTTCGTATATNTGGTATGTCCGTGTATTCGATAAGTTTATCTTAGTTGCATTTTTCCCGAAACTTTTGTTAGCATTCCTTTAGCTTCATTAATTTATGTTATTTTTGGTATACCTTTTCAGCGCCTGGTACGGAGAATTCATACTTTAGTATACGGTTTCCAATATTTAACATTTCTTAAGCGATCCGGTTTTCATTGCAGGGTTATATCACTATATTTGCACTGGGATTTGCAGTCGAAAATTACCCATATTTGCACATTGGAGTATTTATTAATCTACTTTCTACACGTCATCGTCTTTAGTTAGATTTCAGATTATGCACGATTTGTATTTAAGTTTATTTGCCTTTATGACTTTTATTTATTGCTGATGTACACATTCCATTTATTGTTCTTCGCGACTTTTGTAACATTAAGTTTTTCTTTACAAGTTGGCTGCAAATGATTTTTACCGAGTCTGTCATTTGTTGCGTAATATTTTTATATTCATCTTCCAGAATTGTGGAGTTATCAAACCTAATCACACATCGAACTATTCTCGCCATATATGTACATACATATATAGAGATGTAGAAGTTGTCAGTGAAGTGTGTTCCCAGGTCGTCTGGCTATAGAATGCCTTATTTAGTAAATCACATTTTATGTAAATTTAACATCAGTCGTTAATACTTTTATAGATTAGTTCTTAATAACTGACCGTTCCATTACAATTAGTTTTAATTTAAAATTTTTATGCTTTTATCTTTTGATTCCATTATTCATGCGCCCCTACCCCAGTTCATGTTTGATAGTTAAAATAACGTGTCGGAATTGTTACCATGTTATGTTTTGTGTGAAATGTGAATTTTTTGATATTGCAATGGACAGTGTCTTACATTTTTAATTCAAATTTAATAACAGTGTGTGTAAGTGTGTTGTTATATAATTCTCTTATTTCAAACTTTAGTGCATTTGATCTCAGAGATATGGCAGTAGGCTTTTTGTAACAATTTCATTATGTGATTTTTTCTCTTACGCCTGCATGTTTCGCATTGAAAATTTTAAAATTTACAGCTGCATATCGCTGTTGTGAACGAAAACACCAGAATCGTTTATAAAGCTATGCCTGTATGAGCATTAAATGTACATATGCTAACACATATTCATAAATTAGATATGAAATAATATCGCTCTAAAGTGTATAAATAGATACGAGGCAAATGAAATAGCGTTTACATACACATGTATAGATAATAGTAAATAATTTTTGTATAATTTTTGCAAGGTATTACGGTATACAAATATGTGCTTAACAGAAAATAATTTCTCATAAATATGAGCATGATAATACAAAGATAGTAAGCAGATTATTTATACTAAATAAAAATGCTAATTTTTAAATTAAAATTTTTGAATATTACTAGGTCACAGTAGAGATTTTGGGTAATTAGATTTTCCTTCTTCTTACTTTTGCATAGTTTTCGAATCAATATTTGAACTGAAAGTAGAAAAAACTGCAGCTGGTAATGGTGATACTAGTCCTCATAGCAGTTGAGGTTTGTTTTGCTTAACGCTGTCGTTGTTGTTGAATGTGGCAGAAAATTATTTTTGTTGATTTAGGTCAGTTCGATTAAGGTGCTTCCTGGAGGGGGGGGCGAGGCCTGGCTCAGACGTCCGCCGTTCTCGACGTTATACTCGGTGAGCGCGAGTGTATTACAACCTTATGGCCGTTTTTGGTTACAAAACCATCACTTTCCACCAGTACGGCCGTTTGTCGGCCATTTTTGATGCTTGATCCGCTACCGACTCCACCACACGCAGAACCCGGACTTACTGGACTCCCACTTAAAGCAGCTTCCGGGCTGATTACGTTTCCATCGCGCATACCATCACCACTCTCTCCACCAGCTCCACTACGGCTTCCATCGCCATCACCTTCGCCACTTTCGGGATCAAAATTGTTTTCGATGTTCCCTTCCATTTCACCAGATGTACGCGCTTTGTACTTACGCCAAGCGTTTTGTATCAGGCGAGTACAATACTCCTCACGTTGACGCCATAAAGTAGATGACACAGGTTCATGTCCTTCGGCATCTGCCCTGGGAGCAATTTCGCCGATTTCACCTGTATCTTCTATAGGATTGCCTTTCCGTGCAAAAAAGTCTTTGGTAAGAGCATCCAAAATATCTACACAATACATCATATCTCCTCTACAGATTGGTATATCCATAGATATGATTTTGTACTTGTTCGGTTTATGTATTTGAAGAGGCGGTTCCAAGACATCCAGAAATGTGGAGAGCTGATCATAGCGTATATATTGCGTACCTTCGGGGTCGAACTGCTGCCAGATTTCGTAGTACATATCATAATCATCATCGGTGAGACCTTCCTGCACGTCCTCGGTGGCCTGACTATAGTTTTCGAGAATGACAGCAATATACATATTAATAACTATCAAAAAGCTTATAACTAAGTATGAGAGAAGAAACGTTATTCCAACTGTTGCAGAACCACAATTGCCCGGATAGCCTTTGTCGTTGTCGGGTGGATCGCAATTTTCCTCATTGATAATAGCATCTAAAACGCCATCCCAACCGGCTGAGGTAGACATCTGCGTTCCGCCATATAAAAAGCGGTAACAGAGTCCATTTGATTTGTCCGATTGGGTTATTTTATTCAAATACGGAATGGTGTGGCGGAGAAAAAAGTTTAGAACAAGTGAATTTCATTAGTTATGCAGTTGATTGAAACTAACATAACAAGATGGCAGCAAAATCCAATCAACTAATTTTAATTGTCCTAATTAAAAACTTTTTGACGACTGCATACTAGATATATTGGTTACTTATACTCGTATGTATATAGTATGTATACATATATACATTAGCAGAATATATTCAAAATTGAAAACTACTTCAATTGAAGCTCTTGGTAGGTATGGTCTATNTTGACGACTGCATACTAGATATATTGGTTACTTATACTCGTATGTATATATGTATACATATATACATTAGCAGAATATATTCAAAATTGAAAACTACTTCAATTGAAGCTCTTGGTAGGTATGGTCTAAGTATGTGCGAAAGCTAATTAGGCGCAAAACTAAATAATTGGTATACATATTTACACATTGGATGCTTGCAAAAAAATAATTAGGTAAAAATTGTATTTGCCTGTCTTAACTGTTAATTGGATTCACTACGAATTCAGGCAACAGTAAAGAACACTTCCTCAAAGCATGGGTTTATTGAAGGTTGTACTAGGAATGGCTTGTATCAATCTAATATTGATCTATAATTGAAGCAACAAGAGCAAACAATTGCTTGGAAAACAAATTTTGTCAAAATAAAACTCATATCTACATACATATATGACTATGTATAATAATAGCGTGTCAATTTCAGAACAATGAAATCAGGAATTTTTGCATTTGGTTAATATTTGCGTATACAATTATGTATACATCGGAAACTTTCTAATAAATAATTTTCGCTTTAATGAGGATTGTTATCATAAATGTTATAATTGGCGATTGTTGAAAGAGCTTAATTAGAGTGAAATGCAAAGTGAGCATGAAGATAGGAAATGATACTTAAATGAATGATGAGAAAATGTATAAAAAAAAATAAGTTAAGAAGCTTATCGTAAATGGTAGTAAAGTTATCAATTCAACGAAAATTCGTCTTCCGGAAAAACGGACCCAAAAATTCACATACCTACTGTATAGTATATACTTCATTTAAGTTTCATTTTGGTGTAGGATTTATACGGCAGTAGAACTTTCCCCTTTTCACTGCATATATACGATTACAAGTACATACACACATGTGTATGAATATGAAGATATATTGGGATTGATTTTAAACGAAAGTGCTCTGAAATGAATTTAGAGTAAGCATCAAAGGTACGTTGCACAGTGATATTTGATACCAATTTTGTGCCCACAATTTACAAAATTAGTATATTCACTTGAATTCAGGTTTAAAGGGGTTTTTGAGGGGTTTTGCTTTATAAAAAAGAGAACCATTTTGAAATGTGAGTGTTTTTACTCTCTAGAAAATAATTTATGCAACCTCACATACGCGGTTTTACATTTTGCTGATACGCGGGTTTGTACTTTAAACGACGATATGTGTGTGTGTATATCACGGTAACCGGTTCACCAATTTCTCCCAAATTCTTCTCTGTTGTTAGTCTTGGTAAAATATCACTAGCTTAGAGTGAGAAGTTGCTAAGTCCACTTTTTATAGAAACTCATATTTGGATACAGGAGGCTAGAGAAATTAAAAAATGCATCGTTTCGAAAGAAGATAAATGGTCTTGTTTTATGTTTTTTCGTTTATATTCAATGAAAGGAAATTTTCGATAAGGCCAAAATATGGAGAATTTCTTTGCTTTAATATATAGGCAAAACGTTGTATTCAAAGTTTTGCGAAATACTTGAAGAAAATGGCTATAAGAAGTTGTTTCCTTCTAGTATACAATTTTTCAATTGGGTCTTAGCAACTTTTCGCTATAGCGATACACCAAACGGTTGAAAATTTTTAAAATCAGACAATAACCACACACACATCTCATATAGCGGTAATTTAGAGAATACGTAATCTTCGATAAATCAGTATCTACTAAAGCTAATTTATTCAAAATTGTTGTTTGCAATAATTCTTTAGCAAGAAATCAGATTATAACAAATTATAAGAAAATGGGCGTGATACCGTCCACTTATGACCACGTATGTGTGTGTATCTCGGTAACCGTTCCATCAATTTGTACCAAACTCAAGATGTTGAAAATGTTTGAAATCGCGGCAATTTTAAAAATACGGAGACTTCGATATTTCGAAATTTAAGGACGCTATTTTACTCAAAGTTAATACTAAAAAAAAATAAGATTATTATGAGTTCAAGCCCGGTTCAACCCAACATCAAAAAATAAATATAAAATAAAGTTTTTTCTAATAGAGGTCGCCCTCGGCAGGCACTGTCAAACCTCCGAGTGTATTTCTGTAGGTCCCTCCCCTTTGTGTGACAACACCAAGGCGCATACCACAACTCGGAGGAGGGGAGCTTGGCGAAACACTTACATATTTGGAAGAGGCAATCTATTATTGTTATAATTATTATTAATATGTGCGCCGGGTATTTAATGTTCGGCTTCGCCGCAACTTAGACTTCTTTACTTGTTTTGTATGAATTATAAGCTGGAAATAATGTTACTTATATGCCATGACCTCCAACGAATTCCCACACGTTTGACCAAACTTATAAGGAAAACAATTACCTTGTTTATATGGCATCAAACGCGGTATCGAATTAACTCGTGTTAGTGTAGCTCGCTTGAAATGCAAGTGTTTATATGCAACAAAAGAAATGAGTCGATCGAACACGCTTACAAACAGAGGTCATTCCGATGCAACCCTGATATGTGTCAAAACTTGAAAATAATAAACATGGAAAAATAATAATTAAAGACCCAAAAAGAACAATAGCTATTAATTTTATAACAACGCTTAGCCTAAACGTAATTTCATGAACTATTTAAATGTTTCACTTCATACAGAGTTGCATGAAACAACAGTGCGGACAAATCCCGTGTGCACTATTAGCACAATTCAACAACTCTTAACTCGCACTCAAAATGTGATTTATGGTGGCACAGTTACAAGTTTCAATTCGATTTAAGAATGTGTTTATGGTAAATAACAACTAAATAATTAAGTGAATGCGATTAATCGCAGCGTGGTACTTCCACGGCAATTATGTTGAGAGTTTCTTCCTGTACAGAAGGGTATTTCTTCCACCTTGATACGATTAACGAGAAACATACCGTCGAAGAAGATAGGACATTTTGTTATGTTAATCAGCATAACTTCCCGGTCAAGACGGCATATTCCGTTAGCCGTTAGTGTATTACTTCAGAGAACACCTAAATATTGTGCCAGGTTGACTGGGTCACTTTTAATTTTTTGGGGAAACCTTCAAACAGGAAGTAAAGTATTTTTTTGATTTGGTTACACACTAAACAAAAGCTTTGTTAAACAAATAATTAAAAAAAAAAATGTTTTGATGAAAGTATTCACATATGATAGTTAGACGAATGTAAGCGAGATAGTTATGTATATTAAACATTCAAAGTAAAGAAAAGTATTGTGGAAAGTTTGAATGAAAAAATTGATGTTGCTAATTTAGCTTTTATCAACAACTACCATAGCTTAATCAACAATGTAACATTCCCGCTTTTGGGTGAGCTGATCAATTAGGCAATGCACCAACCGCATTTCCAGGTGGAGATATGCGAGTTTAACTACATTGGTGCACCACCACTATAATCGCACTCAAAATTCCGCCAGTGGGAATATTACCCAACGACAACAACAATAGACAACATTAACGGAACTTGAATTGTGGTGGCTTACCTGGAACAGCAATATCATACTTTGGCCAAAAGTTTTAAAATTATAAACGTCGTTAATGCCACTTTTTTCCCGCACATGCATAAAAAATGACATCCCGAAAATAGCAAAGATGAACATTACAAGAAATAGCAGCAGACAAATGTTGAATAGAGCCGGAAGTGACATAGCTAGCGCGAACAACAGCGTGCGAATACCTTTAGCACCTTTGACAAGACGTAACACGCGACCCACTTTTGCCACACGGACCACACGCAACAGCGTTGGAGATACGAAGTACTTTTCAATAATATCGCTCAGCACAAGACCTGTAGGAGAAGGAGTAAATATTTTCGCCCAAAATAGAACGAAATGTAGAAAAAGTGTCGGCAAAATCAATATGTCAATAGGGCATATACCACCGGGCCCATTTTTAATTTTTACACACAAATATATAATTTAAGATAAATTAAAATGCGATGTTTTCGCAACATTTAACGTAAAAATTCGAATTTTTCTTATAGGAGATATCTTTACACTAGTTTACTACAGATACTTTAGAACTCAAAAGCTAAAATTTGTCTTAAAAGCATAAAATATCTATATCAAAATATTCCTCTGAAAGCCATTACGAAATAATAAGATGATATATAGATTTTTACTTTAGTAATAATAAAAACACTGTGAATCCAAGATCTAATACCTTTAATGAAGAAGGATAGTACACAAGTAATTACAAGGCTTGACTAGGCCAAACACAACAAAACAAAAGTTTACGCGTAAGCATAACACACTCACAGTGAAAAAGAAATTAATGTACTATATAAACATACATATCTAGGTAGTATGTAGGTACACACGGCATGGCATTTATTTATCAGATCGTAGTGGAAATTAACAATTCGAAAGCGCTTTGTGAAGGCTCGCANACACTCACAGTGAAAAAGAAATTAATGTACTATATAAACATACATATCTACATAGGTAGTATGTAGGTACACACGGCATGGCATTTATTTATCAGATCGTAGTGGAAATTAACAATTCGAAAGCGCTTTGTGAAGGCTCGCAGTGACGTCAAGTGCAGTCATCTGATTGCATAATTGATGATAAACGGCGGCAAGGTAGCGGCATAATATCAAATAGAAATAATTCAGTGTTTTAAAAATATCTTATTGGAGATTGACTTGATATTTGNTGATTGCATAATTGATGATAAACGGCGGCAAGGTAGCGGCATAATATCAAATAGAAATAATTCAGTGTTTTAAAAATATCTTATTGGAGATTGACTTGATTTTTTTTTATTTAGGCATGTATCTCCTTGATTTCTAAACACTGAGCCATTTCCATACCTACTGACCAGATTTTTTCACTGAAATGTTTTAATTACACCCTCCAGTTTTAGGTAAGGTACAACTCAAGGTTAAGCGATAATCCGCAGCGTATAATTAGTGCCAAATATCGATATTAAATAGCAAAGCAGTTTAATTGCTAAATAAGCATACCTACATATATGTAAATAGAACATACATGTTATTCCGACCAAATTTTTTTTTAAATGGATTTCTCAATTAAAAAAATATAGATTGACAAAACTAGTCATTTGAATTACAAATAAATAAACCTTGTATACCNATATCGATATTAAATAGCAAAGCAGTTTAATTGCTAAATAAGCATACCTATATGTAAATAGAACATACATCTTAATCCGACCAAATTTTTTTTAAATGGATTTCTCAATTAAAAAAATATAGATTGACAAACTAGTCATTTGAATTACAAATAAATCAACTTGTATACAAAAAATACCAAGACGCCCTACACCTCTGTCCTGCCTATTTTTTCTGCACTTACTTTATTTACATACATATGTATGTACTACATTGGTACCGAGTTAATAAATATCGGATAAGTTATCTACAGTAGCTACATAAATTGAAACTGATTAAGATGTAAAATTATTTGAAATTAAGTGTAATAAAAAATTTAAAAGGATTAAATCGTGCAAAAACGCCCTTGAGGTTGTGCTAAGAAAATAACTTTGCACGTTACTTGTAGGGCTGTATTTTTTATTTTAATCCGAGAAAATCATAAATTATTTTAATAAATACTACATTATGTTCCACATATGTAAATACTTCATCATACATGGTTTTAAAAAGGATTAGTAGTATTTTGTATAAATATGCTCGATTTTTAAGTTTAAAGTATTAGGTTCATGTTAATTTGTATTTTAATTTTCGATGATGTCTCTTTGTACAGGAGTTACAATGAAAACGATACAGGTGTACAATACAAATGTAAACATATATGTATGTACAGGATTGTATATTATCTAATACTATAACGCTCTATTCACTATATTTGTGAATCTTCGAAGGGGTCGCAAACTATTGGCGTGGAGTGAATTTTACTTAAGTTGCGACTTGGGTTCATAGTAAAGTACATAATTCCCATCGACAAAATGGACAAAAACCATTAAGAAGACTCAGCGGATGCGCTATGATTGCAGTGCCTCTTTATTGACCATGAATTGATCAAATGACTGGTTATGCTGAATCGTCACACCAAAACAGCTGCAGTCTTATGGATGCGTTTTGTCGAATGGTACAGCGGGTCATGCGGAATGGGCCCCTCAATACCGTTACGACATTAACGTCTGGTTATACATATGTATGTATATATATTTTATACATACATTTAGCCGGAAAAGCGGGGCTAGCAGAGGTATGCAATAGAGCTTTGAGTTTTATCTTTCGCTGAATCTTTATACATACATACATATACGGCCTCGATGAATGGTAGCCACTGATTCTGACCAGAGATCTGAGTTGGTTTCGTCGTTTATGTTTTGGTTAAACCCTTTTATTCTATTATACCTACACGTAAAAAGAGACATATGTATATTAATATATTCGACGTTCTGATATCACTTTAGTTTAATTTTTTCCCTTCTAAAAATGTATGCTTCACTAAGTAGTAAATAAGAACCTATAATATCAGCGTTTTATCTAAAGCAACTAGCGGCATCAAGCATCTGTTTAAATTGTGCGGCGGGAATTCTAAAATTTAATTTAGGATCTACATATTATACATATACATATGTAGCAGCAAAGTTTAAAAGTTTGGTTTAAAATGGCGCAAAGCGCAAAAATATTTATGATTTTTAGCTTGCTAGATACTGCGTATTTCAAGGTTTCGCATATGCTTAAATAATGAGTATGAATTCAAGCAGACAAAGTTAAGCTTTAAAGCTTGCAAATAAAAAGATTCGTATCACTTAAAATGTGAACACTGTAAAGCTATTTCGAAAGCTTACAAACTGTTTTAGTTAAAAAGCTTATGCACTTATGTATGTACATATACATATATCTCTATTTCTGAATATTGGGGAAGTTATTTTATTAAGAACAAAAATTTATATCCTAAGGAAGATCTTAAAATGAGAAAATGTGCAGATAGAAAATTATCCTTTTCATAAATATCGCAAAACGACGGAAATATTACTTTATCAAAAATGGTTTAAAACTCTATCTTCCTTACAGAAGTTATGAAAAAGAAGTTTTCTATCTCATAATGTAGTAAAGCATATTTTAAAGCCATCTTTTGTATAGTAAACTCCACTAAATTTAACTATTTTTGCTTACAATGTTGAATTTCAATTATTGATTAGTTGCCGTTTTATTCGGACAGTTTAAGCCATTATATAAAAGGAATTATTAAAAAAAAAGAGGCGAGTATTCATTTGTGCTTTCGTATATAGTTTTGTAGTTTATGATAAGAAAACCAAAGCCCATAAAAAGTTTATATTACCAAACAAAAAAACCACGAACTCTAAACAAAACCGAATCGTCTCGTAAAACTGCCGCCAAGAATATAAAACATCGTCAGCAGAAAACCTCGTACTCACACAGATGTATGTACATATGTCGATAGTNAATATAAAACATCGTCAGCAGAAAACCTCGTACTCACACAGATGTATGTATGTACATATGTCGATAGCGTCATGATAATATACATATGTATGTATGTATATGTTAAGGATATCTGCGTTCTTATTTTGAATAAAATTTAATCCGAATTATAAATAATATATACCAAGAGCAGTGTAGCTCCAATTCTAATCTAGAAAATATTGCAAATGGTAATACAAACATATGCGTAAAAATCATGTTTTACCTATCCATAGAATTCCACTAGCCCTTTTTTTCCAAAACACGGATCATTAAAATATCCTTAGAGTGAAATATTGCTAATTCCAACTGATTGCTAATAAAAACCCATATTGTGATAAGGGAAGCAGATAATTTAAAATTTTGTGACTTGCAAAAAGATTAATGCACCCGTTTATATTCAGTGAAAGGCAAAGTTCCTAAATCCAAAAAAGCACAGAAAGTTGATAAAGTCAAAATAATAGGAAATATTTTACTCAACACCGAATTCTTTGAATTTACATCGCACATTTGCTGCAAGAATGTATAATCCAAAAAATCAAAAACTCCAGAAAAACAGCTTTAAAATTTTGGATTTGAGCTACTAATAGGTACAGCTATGAAATTCTCACACGACATAGAAGAGCAGGTAGCGGTCATTTCTGCATCTTTATGTATATTTTTTTTTTTGGATTATGAAACTCTTGCAGGAAATATGCGGTATGAAGTCTTGCTTTTTTTTAAGTGCAAAATGTCTAAGTTTTGAAAAAATTCTTGAAAAAAATTGCTATAAGTTTTATTCAAAATCGGTACGCGTTCCAGCAATTCCTGTACAGCAATTGTTTCAATGTATTACAAAGTTGCAATGCAGATCGTTAGGCAATAGATCTACCATTATGAGGTTTAAATTTCATAGTACTGGCTTTTAATTTGACAGTTTTATTCGTGTTGGAAGTGGCTGCTCAAAAAATAATGTTGAACAAATTCGTTGAAAATCCGACATCCTCGAGATCAAAAATCAAATTAAAATTAAATATACCAAAAACTTCTAATTTTCCTCCAAAAATCAATGAATGGATTCCTTCTGCTTAAACTAACAGAGTAAGCTAATCATCAAAAGAAATCATTTCGCACCAGCTTAAGGATAAGGCTCTTTACCTCAATTATAAAAAAAAATCGGCTTATCAGAAGAAGATCGCGCGAAAGAATTGGAAAACGATTATCCACAGTTCAGCGAATGCAAGCTATGGCAAGACTTAAACCTTATCGAGTTATAATATATAAAATTCTGTTAGATTAAATACATTTTATAACAAAAACCGCACCCGTTTACATTACCCCAATGTTCACACTAAATGTAGTATTTTATAATAATGACTAATAAAACATGTTTAAAACTGGACTTCGGTCAACTCCCCCGTTAAAAGTTTTAAGCTAAAAAGAAACAGGGTGATATCCTCTTACAACTAAATCTATAGAAGTTGACACAGTTGTCAAAAGGCTATGAAATGACAAGAGAATCGAAGCAGTGTCATTAAAACTCGATCAGACTCCACAATGGGTCATATGACCCCAGAAATATGCTGGAAGGAGCGCTTGCACAAAGTGATATTTCATTGTATCATTTACTTTGGACCTTTTGTAAAGTGTTGGTTGTTGGTGGGTTTTTATGAAAACTAATTATTCACAGGTAACTTTAAATCGGTTTGAAGCCAATGATGTGAAAAAAGTTGTGGAAGTCATCAATTTACGAATATGACCTATTTAAGTCAAATCGAAAAATACATGGTATTTATTTAAAACAAAATTAGTAGAGATGTGCGAGCCATGGAAAAACATAAACTAAAGATAGTTTAGTAGAGCAAGTTGACTACACAACTCTCTAGAACGGGTGTTCAGAAAATTTGTATCATTATCAAAGAAATTGTCTCTTATTTATTTATCCAAGCAAAATATGCAACTCTCGCTAACATGTACCTATAACGGAATGTTTTGACTTTATTCTAACATATTAAATATTATTTTCTGAAAACCTACTAAAAAGATATAACCCATTTCATGCGTACCGATTTTGAGTGAACGATTCTTTATATATCTAACAAGTTTGCATTCTAAGCTAGCGATATGCGAATTTATGCACTTTAATAAGCCTTCGTTTCGACATGCGTACCACTACTCGGAATAGCCCAGGTTCAATTCCTGGTCCGACCAATATCAAAGTTTGTTTTTATAGCGCTCATCCATCGGCATGTAATTACAAAACCCTAAGTGTATTTCTGCCATATAAGAATTTCTCCGTCCGGAGGCTGCGCTAAGGTGGTAAGGTCAGCTGAAGAATTGCGTATTTCTGCCATACAAGATGATTGGAAGCGGGATAGTGAATAATTAGTTATTAAAATACAAATACATTTTTCAATTTGGTCTGATTCTGTTTTTTTNATTCTAACATATTAAATATTATTTTCTGAAAACCTACTAAAAAGATATAATCCATTTCATGCGTACCGATTTTGAGTGAACGATGCTTTATATATCTAACAAGTTTGCATTCTTTATAGAAGTTTGTCAGGTTATTTTAACATGATATAAGATCTCTTGACTTTGAATATGAAAAAATAATTTGAGTTGGGCTCTAAAATAAAGACCTCTTACGCATTTTTGTCGTTATACATTTGATCCAATGCATGTTTAGGAGACGACATATGTATATACAAACAGCACTGACGACCGGAATTAAGTCCGTGGTTTTAGAACAAATATACCAAATGAAGATAAACATAAAGATACACATATGTAGGTATATAAAACATGATAAAAATTTTGTCATAAGCTTGATGTTAACANAAAGACCTCTTACGCATTTTTGTCGTTATACATTTGATCCAATGCATGTTTAGGAGACGACATATGTATATACAAACAGCACTGACGACCGGAATTAAGTCCGTGGTTTTAGAACAAATATACCATATGAAGATAAACATAAAGATACACATATGTAGGTATATAAAACATGATAAAAATTTAGTCATAAGCTTGATGTTAATAAAACAATCGGGTACTACAGTTTATCNTACAACAAATAGTTTTACAACATTCCAATTATAGTAATCACACAAATAAGATACACAACAAAATAGCCAATGTAGATTTAAACAAAAATACATAGTAGTTTATACATATGCGGACTGTGGACGATCGGACAATATAAATGTACTATATGTATATAGCTTGATTTGCAGTATTTCAACATTAAAGTTTTACATTTACATAATTTAGCGAAAAACTTTGAGTATTTAAAAGTAACAAATCACAAATTTACATTTATAACGAATGTTTAAACAATAATTTCAAAATTACCAGAAAAAATATTTTTGGCTTTTACTTACCTAAGATGGATAAAATGACAACTACTACATCAAATAAATTCCATGGCTCAATAAAATAGTGATACCGTAAGGCGAATATTTTTAATAGACATTCGGAACTGAAAATAACTACGAATATCGCATTTAGATAGTCTAGAACAGCATTATATGTTTCGGACGCATCGTATCGATCGAGTGTCATGGTAAACATATTTAGGCCAATGAATAACATAATTATTATATCGAATTTTTTATCAGTAACTATTTCAAATACTATTGCTTGTGGACGCCACTGGAAGAGAAAAGAGAGAAATATAGAAAACAGTGAATTCTTAATCATTTCGAACTAATTTATATTTTATTATTATCGTATAAGCTTTTTGTAAGCTTAGGGTTATATGTATGTATTTATAAGATTATTGAGGCCATGATAACATGCGTGCGTCATGTTCTTTTATCATTTATATTTGCATTAAATCTGTTATTCTTTATCTGTGCCAAATGCAACTTTTTTCTCAAGAATTAAATTAAACTTTTATAACGATATATATATATGTATGTGTAGGTAGGTATAAGTCAAAAAGTTAATCATTCAATTTTGTTTTTTTAATGCTTTCTGGTGTTCTATATATGTATTTTTAAATTCATTAAAAAGTATTTAAAAGAGCTGTGAGATATAGAGTATAATATCTTAGTTTTTGGTTACAGATTACATATCTTCGACAAATATATACATAGTATGTATGTATGTATGTATGTATATGTAAACTATACTATACCGACGAAGATGCGCAATCTTGAATAACGTTCATTATCTTTTGGTGTTTTAGTACGGGAAGTTGGATTTAATATATGAAAAAAAACGTGCAGATATTTGCATTTTTTTACTAAGGAAATGTAAATCTAGTTGTGAAATTTAGGATACCCCTTGAATATAGCTATTTAATTGGGTTTACACATACGAAACAGTGTGTTTATAAAAATATATTTTAATTAATTCTTTTTTAGGGTGTGAAATTGTTTCAGAAAACATGCATATGTTTGTGTCAGCATATCATTGTACATCTGCATCCGTCTACTACAGTAGATATGTAGATATACATAAATACATATCTTTAGTCTCATGCTTGTACTGTTCATATATTTTTTTGATTTGAATTTGCAGTGCATGCAAATGCATACAGATCATATAAATTCATTAAGAAATATATGTAGGAAAGTAAGTATTAAGAAATTTTCAAAATTTGAATTGTTTTGTTAGATTTNTTGTGTCAGCATATCATTGTACATCTGCATCCGTCTACTACTGTAGATATGTAGATATACATAAATACATATCTTTAGTCTCATGCTTGTACTGTTCAATATATTTTTGATTTGAATTTGCAGTGCATGCAAATGCATACAGATCATATAAATTCATTAAGAAATATATATAAGAAAGTAAGTATTAAGAAATTTTCAAAATTTGAATTGTTTTGTTAGATTTATGTATTGGTAGACTTAAAAATGTTTAAGAACAGACAACCTTTCAAGGAGTTGAGTTTCAGATTGGTATGTGGCTTGAATATATAGATTGTGTCCATTTCAAAGCAACTTTATTGAATAACAGTGGAAGAATGGTATAACTCCTGTTGTAAACTTATTTTTTGCCTATACAATTCGACCACTTAACGCGGCTGGTGCACGCGCACACGCATCCGTTGCTGTGGATGCTTATGTTTCGAAAATATTGCTAGATACATAGCTGGGCCCTCATAAGGTTTTTTGCAATTGCACAGTTACGTCATCAGAATTTTGACGACGTAATAACAACATATTTTACAGACGAAAAAAAAAAAATCATAACAACCGCGCACCTTGGAAAAAAGTATTAACAATNTACATATTTTACAGACAAAAAAAAAAATCATAACAACCGCGCACCTTGGAAAAAAGTATTAACAATTGGCACAGATTTAATTAGTTAATTTATAGTCTCTTTCTTTTAAATTTATGGCATATATCGATCGATATAATACAATTTTTAAATTATTGTATTCTTTTATTATAAAAAAAATATATAAGCCTTACCCTCGGTCTAGGAATGGCTTTTAATGGTTTTTTAGAGCCCATCTTTTTCATAGCATTATAGTACTTTTTCTGATCTTCTGTCATGAACATTTCTAATGATCCACCTGCTTTTTTCTTTTGCTCGTTAAAATTATCAATGATAACACCAATGAAGAGATTAAGAGTGAAAAATGATCCAAATATGATGAAGAATACGAAATATAAATACATGTAGATATTCGTTTCACGGATTGGCTGCTTGCCCACCTGTTGAAGGGTCACATATTTTTCATATCGAGGAGTGAGTATGTTTGTACAGGTGTTGGTAATGATGTATTTATGTTGGTTAATTTATTGGCAGTGTTGTTGTAGGGAGTTTTTTTTTTGTATTTTATTTGGAATTTGTTGTTAGATTTCACAGTTTTTATGTACGTTGCAGTTTTGTTTTAGACGTGCAGGTATGACGGGAATTTTAGTGTAACGAAATATTTTTTTTTTGTTGTGGTAATAAGGTTGTTTATTTTTGTATTTGTTGCGGGAAAGAAAAAAGAAAAATATTAATATTAGATTTGTCTAAGATCAAAAAACTAAAATATTGTTCATAAATCTATGTAGATCCGCAACATTTTTGAATTACCTCACGTGAGTCAATTGCGTCGTTCATGATAGGTATCCAGCCTTTAAACGTGGCCACTTGGAAAAGGCACAGATACGCATTACCTACATGATCAAAATTCATTGCTGAATTCACCCATGTGTAGTTTTCACTCTCGCAGGCATTGCGGTTAGGTATGATCTCGTGACTGAGTTTAGTGCCATTTTGATCCTCGCACTGCAGTTGCCGAATTAATGAAAATAAATTAATTATATTAATACATATTAAACCAATGGTATTAGATAAGACAAATATGTGTTCTTACATGTACAGCACACATTCAGTTATACATGTTTCGATTACTGTTATACATATGTACCTAAATATAAATGCATACATACATATACATACATATATAGTAATGTATGTATGTATGTATGTGCATGTGTGGCATGGTTTGATTCAAAAGCTTTCAAAAGCTAATATTAAAAGCTATCTATTCTACCAGTTAATTTTTCTCACATCTTGCTATATAGATATATAAGAACATTTTCTATACATGTCTATATTTAAAACTTTGGTCGAATATGGATGCAAAGAAACATATTAAATTTGTATCAATAACTTTTATTATTTTAAGAAGTATGAGGTGTCCATACTATTATTATCAAATACAAGTGGTGACTTTAGAACTCATAAATATTTAATAGCAAAGTTCTGCGATTTCCTATCACATATTACATTTGCATATGTATGTTACACAAAAAAAAAAACCGCTGGAAAGGAAGTGTCGCTTGTATACCTATACTCGTATTTACAGCAGCGTATATAGTTACATTTGTATAGATACTGAAATGTTCATTACAAATACATACATATTTAAAAGCAGTCTCCGCCAATGACATAAATGATAATAAGTACGATAATGAACTCGCCTTGCTAATTATAGAGGTTCGTGGAGCATTAAGTTCAATAACAAAAATTGGCAAACAGTGTTATGCCATTGAACTCAGTTATAATTTAAACTAATAATTTATTTATTGTCAACCATTCACGAAAAATAGATGCAAAGATACGCTTCTTTAAAAAGTTCTTCACTTTATTCTTGTATTCAGCCAAATCTTAATCGAATCAATTTAACGGTCTGACTGATATAATAGTATTTTGATTTGGTTTGTTGTTTTTGAGGTTTCAACCCAGTGTATGTTGTGGTAAACCAACCCAGTAGCATTTTACTGCAGGGTTGATTTAATAAAACATTTTCTAAATTTAGATATCACGCTATTAGTATTTTTAATATTTATTTATTTATTTTTTTTTATTTCAACGTACCTTAAAATATTTTCCAGCAAAAAGCTGTACACCCATTATGGCAAAAATTAGCCAAAATATTAGACACACCAATAGCACATTGAAGATGGACGGTATAGCTTGAACCAATGCATTCACGACGACCTTAACGTCCGAAACGATGGCAGCACCAGAGTCAGTAAAAGGTTCGTCGGCAATCACATTTACGGAATATGACGTAAGCAATGACAGTAATGGGAAAGTGGCAAATATATCGGTGCATTATATGAATGAGATGGTACAATGGCGATCGCATCCAGATGTAAAATTTTGTGATAACGATCGTTTTGATTATTGAGATTAGTGGGTTGAAGATCATTTTGATTATTGTGATGAAAGAACATGTGAGAGGAATAAATTTAAATAGATTTTAGTATTAGTTTTTGGTTTGCAATAATAATTGAGTAAATAATAAACCGGAAGAGTCGATTATGATTATGTGATGACATTGATTATGCTTTCCTAATATTTAACAACCAGTGCATTTTAAAAGCATGCGGTGCTTATATGTATATGTACATTCCTACATATGTAGATAACCAATACTTGATTCAACAAGGCAGATTAGAAATGATGTGATACGGTTGAGTGCAGAGCCATAATAAATAAATCCATTTAATAACCAAAGGCATGCTTAAAGCAGATTTTCTGTGATTTTATTATTTGCGAAAAAAAATACAGAAATCTTGAAATAACCTAAAAATATAACTGATAAGAAAACAAAGGTAATAAAGAAAGCTGTGAAATTACAATTGTTACAAAAAAGTGAACTAATTAAACTTCAATAATTTCAGTTTTCTCTGTTGGTAATTGGTTTTTTAGATCTTATGTATATATGTATGTGATGAAAGAAGAAACTCTTAAGGCGGGTTCACCGTTCGTTTTTTCTCGAAAATTTATTGCAGGCATGCCCTTTGAAATTAATAAAAATCATTTTTCTTGCTCAACGGTCGAATTTATTCTGTTTCCTTTAAATTCAAATATTTTCCTCCAAGCGGTGATAAGATTCTTGTTCTTATTTTCTAATTTGCAGCTGTGTCCAGCGTTGCCGTTTCGCTTAGATGTAAGCAAAATTGATTAATTTTCCCTGACTGTTTAAATGTAAAATTTTTCTTCGTTTTGCTTAATTTTTTCTACAATTCGTATTAAACGAAAGCAAAAACAAGAAATGAAATTTCATGAACTATGTGGTAGTTTAAATCTACAGTGCCGTCTTTTGTGATCTTGTGAACTAAAGGAACATAAAGAAATTTTCTTTCCGACCGCTTAACTCCTGAAATATAACGAAATTTGGTTTCCCTTTTTAATGTATCAAATTTGAGCGTATTATCTACTGGCGCATAGTGGGAAAAATATTTTTGTGTCAAAAAAGCTGTATACTCTTCAAATCCCACCCAATTTCGATTATTCTCCTTTTTTTCAAAACGTTCGTTATATATTAATTTTACTGTTAGGAGATGCTGCTGCTTTTTTGAATAGTCGTAAATAAATATAACAAATTCAGCCCAAACTAAAGGTCGGTTTAAGGTTCCAGCAATTACGAATTACCAAATGTAATTCTGACATGATTGAAAGTGCTGCCACATATTTTGTTGGTAACTTATGCTCATTTTGTAAAGTTGCTTACAAAACTTACGATTGCTATAAATTTTGCTCCCTGTTTTTAGAGTTTACAGACTTGGTATCCTCAAACTTAAAAAACAAAACCACCAAAAAACGCACCAAGCACTCAACTCAAAAATTTTCGCGTTTTGAATAAAGAGGAGCACTAAATTTAGTGCGAAAAACACCAAGTTGGCAACAGTTATGCTGAAGTACGATTCACCGTNCTACAATTCGTATTAAACGAAAGCAAAAACAAGAAATGAAATTTCATGAACTATGTGGTAGTTTAAATCTACAGTGCCGTCTTTTGTGATCTTGTGAACTAAAGGAACATAAAGAAATTTTCTTTCCGACCGCTTAACTCCTGAAATATAACGAAATTTGGTTTCCCTTTTTAATGTATCAAATTTGAGCGTATTATCTACTGGCGCATAGTGGGAAAAATATTTTTGTGTCAAAAAAGCTGTATACTCTTCAAATCCCACCCAATTTCGATTATTCTCCTTTTTTTCAAAACGTTCGTTATATATTAATTTTACTGTTAGGAGATTCTGCTGCTTTTTTGAATAGTCGTAAATAAATATAACAAATTCAGCCCAAACTAAAGGTCGGTTTAAGGTTCCAGCAATTACGAATTACCAAATGTAATTCTGACATGATTGAAAGTGCTGCCACATATTTTGTTGGTAACGTATGCTCATTTTGTAAAGTTGCTTACAAAACTTACGATTGCTATAAATTTTGCTCCGTGTTTTTAGAGTTTACAGACTTGGTATCCTCAAACTAAAAAAACAAAACCACCAAAAAACGCACCAAGCATTCAACTCAAAAATTTTCGCGTTTTGAATAAAGAGGAGCACTAAATTTAGTGCGAAAAACACCAAGTTGGCAACAGTTATGCTGAAGTACGATTCACCGTTCAGTTCGGCACATTTTATTTTGTTCTGAAGCAAACAGCTGATGATATTGTTACCTAGATACGATTTTAAGGGCAAAGTCGCTGCAAACGCATATAAAGAAGAACGCGGCACCCGAATAATCAAGTCGTTCGGACAGAAAATCAAAATCAATTTGATTCGAACAAAGAATGTTCAGCACATTTTGTCGCGCTCTCAGTGAGACAAAGTGGGAAAGGAACGCGTAAAATTACTAACAAAAAGTGTCCGGACACGAACGGTGAATCCGCCTTTAAGCCAGCTTAAGCAATAATTGAGCTATGAGGATGCCCTTCTAAAAATACTCCAATTTAATTTTGCATAAGATAAACTGATAAATAATAGCATCTTTCATAACATGAAAGTCTTAGGTATTATCTTGTTCAGATTGAAAATCAAAATTGATATCGACTGGCTCTTTGATAAACAAGTGCTATCCATATGAAGCACAGTGTTTACTATACGTATATAGTATTTGTAAATTTTCATATGTAGCTGTTTCTATTTTACAAAATTGTTATTTGCAAAACAATTTACGAATATTACATATAAACAAAACCTAAAATCTGTCAGTGGTTTTTTAACGCATGCTCAAAAAGCTGCTTGCATGAACTTTCATGTACAAGTAACACATAGTGTGCATGGATGTATGTAAGTATGCGAATCCAGCCAATGCAAAATGACGCCATACTTGGATTGTTCACACCTGCCTGGTTATCCAGCGGTTGTATTTTTTTTTTAACAGTTTACAACAATATAAAATACTAATTTGCAAATAGGCAACTTAATAAGAAGGACGGTGTGAATACCTACGCTATGTATAAATTTTCTACATCTAGGAAAATATTTTTTGTTATAGATTTGAAGAACAGAATAATATTAACAAAACCTTACTGCATCCGGAGCAACAATCGGATTTGATTATGATATATTTAATATTCATTTGTGGAGATAAAACAACTTTAAATTCGTATTTATGCAAAAGTGTATTTTCCCTTTACCTAGTAANTTATGCTCATTTTGTAAAGTTGCTTACAAAACTTACGATTGCTATAAATTTTGCTCCGTGTTTTTAGAGTTTACAGACTTGGTATCCTCAAACTAAAAAAACAAAACCACCAAAAAACGCACCAAGCATTCAACTCAAAAATTTTCGCGTTTTGAATAAAGAGGAGCACTAAATTTAGTGCGAAAAACACCAAGTTGGCAACAGTTATGCTGAAGTACGATTCACCGTTCAGTTCGGCACATTTTATTTTGTTCTGAAGCAAACAGCTGATGATATTGTTACCTAGATACGATTTTAAGGGCAAAGTCGCTGCAAACGCATATAAAGAAGAACGCGGCACCCGAATAATCAAGTCGTTCGGACAGAAAATCAAAATCAATTTGATTCGAACAAAGAATGTTCAGCACATTTTGTCGCGCTCTCAGTGAGACAAAGTGGGAAAGGAACGCGTAAAATTACTAACAAAAAGTGTCCGGACACGAACGGTGAATCCGCCTTTAAGCCAGCTTAAGCAATAATTGAGCTATGAGGATGCCCTTCTAAAAATACTCCAATTTAATTTTGCATAAGATAAACTGATAAATAATAGCATCTTTCATAACATGAAAGTCTTAGGTATTATCTTGTTCAGATTGAAAATCAAAATTGATATCGACTGGCTCTTTGATAAACAAGTGCTATCCATATGAAGCACAGTGTTTACTATACGTATATAGTATTTGTAAATTTTCATATGTAGCTGTTTCTATTTTACAAAATTGTTATTTGCAAAACAATTTACGAATATTACATATAAACAAAACCTAAAATCTGTCAGTGGTTTTTTAACGCATGCTCAAAAAGCTGCTTGCATGAACTTTCATGTACAAGTAACACATAGTGTGCATGGATGTATGTAAGTATGCGAATCCAGCCAATGCAAAATGACGCCATACTTGGATTGTTCACACCTGCCTGGTTATCCAGCGGTTGTATTTTTTTTTTAACAGTTTACAACAATATAAAATACTAATTTGCAAATAGGCAACTTAATAAGAAGGACGGTGTGAATACCTACGCTATGTATAAATTTTCTACATCTAGGAAAATATTTTTTGTTATAGATTTGAAGAACATAATAATATTAACAAAACCTTACTGCATCCGGAGCAACAATCGGATTTGATTATGATATATTTAATATTCATTTGTGGAGATAAAGAAACTTTAAATTCGTATTTATGCAAAAGTGTATTTTCCCTTTACCTAGTAAAATATATTTATACATATGTTGATGAAAGCTATTACGTATTTATAAAAAAAAAACACATTTATGAGCTTATTCTTTTTGAATGTGCTGATATATAGTCGTGTATCATCAATATATGTACATATGCATTTATGTTTACGAATTTTTACAATGTATTCGACGTATATGTATGTAGGTGAAATGTGAAGGTAATTATTAAAGCAAGGGAAAATCATGTATATAAAGATTATTATTAAACAAATCTCTACTATTCTAGTACTTTACGATATGAAAACTAAAATCATAGCAATCAAACAGTCAATTAAAT